GCTGTCACCATCAATGTTGTCAGGAGCTGTCACCATCAATGTTGTCACGGGCTGTCACCATCAATGTTGTCAGGAGCTGTCACCATCAATGTTGTCACGGGCTGTCGCCATCAATGTTGTGAGGAGCTGTCACCATCAATGTTGTCACGGACTGTCACCATCAATGTTGTCACGGGTTCACAATCATAATCTTATCAATCACTATTTTTCCCCAGCCAAGGCAGTTATAGCTTGCTTCATACATCACATTTATCACCTTAACCTATAGCCGTAGACCAAAGATTCTTGTCATACTTCACCCTTGGAAGATTGAAGATAAGTTTTATTAAATTTTTTCATATAACATATATATAAAATATATTAACATGCCATATAAAATGTATATAAATGCATTCCAATTCTCCACATGCGCTGTGCTCAACATTGTCCTAGCCGCATCCTGCGCCCGTATCCTGCACTGCATTTCGTCACCATTAAAATAAAAATGAATAGACTTTTTCATTATCCTCTTCAACTTAGACTGTTTTCAGTTGAACTTACGAACTTTTGTTATACGAAGCGAAATCTCGATGATTGTGATGACCAAATACGGGAGCCACTGCCAAACACGAGAAAAGAATACTACACCATTGATAAGGCAGTATTGATACGGCACTAATGGTACGACACTAGTGATACGGCACTAATCTCAACGAACTGCAACATACTTAAATACTGGCATCAACTCCCGTAGACTTTTTCTTTGTAGGAACAAGTGCCCATTGACTTGATGACAAATGCACTTTGGTTGTTAGCTCTCATCGCCCGCGAAACAACCAACATCGCCCGCACTATATCTTTACACCATCGTTATAGATTATATCTAGCGAGGCTGGCAGTGTCGTGTATAGTGAGACTGACAGTGCCGTGTATAGTGAGACTGACAGTGCCGTGTATAGTGAGACTGACAGTGCCGTGTATAGTGAGGCTGACAGTGCCGTGTATAGTGAGGCTGCCGGTGCCGTGTATAGTGAGGCTGCCAGTGCCGTGTATAGTGAGGCTGACAGTGTCGTGTATAGTGAGGCTGACAGTGCCGTGTATAGTGAAGCTGACTGTGTCGTGTATAGTGAGGCTGCCGGTGCCGTGTATAGTGAGGCTGACAGTGCCGTGTATAGTGAGGCTGACAGTGTCGTGTATAGTGAGGCTGACAGTGCCGTGTATAGTGAAGCTGACTGTGTCGTGTATAGTGAGGCTGCCGGTGCCGTGTATAGTGAGGCTGACAGTGCCGTGTATAGTGAGGCTGCCGGTGCCGTCTACAAGTCAAGTAACAATTTTGAACATGATTCGATTTGTACATAAGCGACCAAAAAATATTTTTACAGCAAGCATACATGGCTTTGATAATTAAGTCGTTATTCGATCTAAAATAGCCTCGACTGACAACACGCGCACGCTTCTGGTGCGTTTCTTCTTAAGTATGAATTTGACATTTTGTGTTTTAAGTAAAGTTTTATACAATTCAAAAATTGCTTTTTATACGCCTGTCCCTCGCTGTTTGCTATATAGATCTCTGAAGTTAATTTTCAAATTATTCAAAGTTATTATGCAAATTTCTAATGTAGTTACAGGTTACAAATTAAAAGTAAAGACAGATAAATTAACGTCTATTGTAAACTTTCCGACTGGAACTAAAATCTGTTACCTCGGCCCCGGTCCCCCTCCCCCCGGCCCCCGAGGCCCCCGTCACCATGGCTCAGTGCTCAGGCAGACACGATGGTGGGAGGTTGTGTGCTGCGTGTCTGGCGCCGAGTCCAGCCAATCGTTCTAGTATTAATGTTGTCATCGCTGCAGTCAGTAGCTGAGCAGAAGGAACTTCTCCTGTGAGTATTTGGAAGTCTGACAGTGATCCATAATCATAATTAAGTAAAATAATCTCTGAAATAGAATATTTGTAGGTAAACAATGAACATTGATCGCGTTAGTATCGACTAGCGCCATGCGTCCATCCGCGTGTCGCCGATCCTTCTTCGTGTCACGACTCGACTTTATACTAGGTTTAGTAGAAATGTTGAGGCTAGTAAATAATATAACGTAAAATACATAGGAACGGTATTTTCTTGACACTAGAGATATGTGATCCTCAAGAGTTGTGAGTGGTAAGTGGTGTAGTGCCGTCACTGTTGATATCAATAGGTCCGGAATAATCAAAAGGCGGTATTGACGTATAGTTTATACGAGGGGGCTTCAGAAATTTCATGGAATATGGACATAACTGAAAATTCTATAAAAAATGTGATGCTAATGCGCCAGAAATATCCTGTATCAATGTTTTATAACGTGTTCTCGTATGAATCCTTAAATTGATGTGTTGTATAAAAGCAAAAACCGTTCATGCAACTTGGCATCTGCCGAAATTGAGGTCAGGTCAAACATCAAATTCATGGTGAAGCTTGGATAGAAGAACAACCAAATCATTTACTCTCTGGAACAAGTTTATGGTAACAGTGCCTCAGATAAATCAGTAATCTACAAATCTATAAAGTCGTTAGTCGTTCCGGAAGCGAAAGAGATGAGACGAAAGATGACCTCTGCATAGGCAGGCCACGCACATCAGTTTGTGTGGTAAACGTCGATGTTTTATAAATGATAGGCGAATTACCACCGAATCAGTAGCATACACCCACGACACCTCTGTGGGTTTCGCAGACACATTGTCGGTGGGTAGTTTGGGACTGAGCAAGTCCTCCCCTCGATTGATCCCAATACCGTAGCTCCCAGATTAGCAGGAATTAAATGCAGCTCTTTTTATAGAGATTATGAACATGTGGGACGAGAACCCACAATTTCCTCTCACGCGGATTGTGACTGGGGATGAAACATGGCTCCACCAGTACAATCCCGAGGGAAAACTCAGTCGAAGCAGTGGCTCTTCAGGAAGAAAGTGTGGTACCGTCAGAGAAAAATCTGAGCGATCAAGAGGGTAGGTTTCTGGAATGCTCAGGGAATCTCGTTTAAGTTAATTTCCTCGAGAACAGGAAAAATATTACAGCTGTTGAGATTTTGCTGATAGGATTTGAGAACACTGCCGATAAACGGCTTGTGAAGCAGCATCGGCGCGCACTCTCCCACCACGACATAGGTAGCACTCGCGCATGGCGCTTGGTTGACAGGTGATGGGAATTTCGATTTTAATTGGAAATAATTCGGCATCCTCCTTATTAGACCGACTGAGCCCCATCCGTCACGTCTTATTATTATTTTTAAAACTAAAAAAATCGTTTAAAGCTGCCAAGTTTTCATCAAGTGATGCCGCAAAAAGAGCTGCCGAAAGATGGTTCATATCGCATTACTTTCAAATTTACGCAGATTGACTTAATGCCTAGTAACAGCGTTCACAGAAATTTATGGACCTAGTTATAGCATATGCGCGAAAATAAAATTTATGACTTCTTTACTTTTTTCAAACTGTTTTTCCACAAACTTTTTGGAGACCCTTAATACAGACTTGATGTTTTTATTAGAGATTTTAAAAGTACTAATTTATTCCTGAAAATTACAATCTTATAAATTCATCTTGACAAATAACTTTGGTTGTGTATTGGTCATCCTAATTATAAAAATCTTTATCATGTCATGTATAAGTCAAGCTTATTGCACTTATGATGATCATTTATTACTAGATGGTTCGGCACTTTATGATAATTGTAACCATTGAAGCTGAGCGGAGACTATCGTGTTTGTGGCAGCCTGGGACAGGCGGGTGCCGACATCCGTCAGTGGCTGCTGGACGAGCATGGGAGGCACACGCGCTGGCAGACGCTCTCCGACCAGGTGCCCTGAACACTGCTCTTAATCATTCACTGTATGACACCTCAATACTGCTGCTCTATATGAACCATTCACTGCATCACCCCTCAATACTGCTGCTCTATATGAACCATTCACTGCATCACACCTCAATACTGCTCTATATGAACCTTTCACTGTATGACACCTCAATACTGCTGCTCTATACGAACCATTCACTGCATCACCCCTCAATACTGCTCTATATGAACCTTTCACTGTATGACACCTCAATACTGCTGCTCTATACGNCTGCAGACTACGTACAATAAAGCAAGTAGGTAACTACCTGCAGACTACGTACAATAAAGCAAGTAGGTAACTACCTGCAGACTACGTACAATAAAGCAAGTAGGTAACTAACTACCTGCAGACTACGCAGTGCTGCAGTCTTCACTATACAAACTTTTCATTCTTACATTCATTCGTTGTTCAATAATTTCCCGTCAATTCCTCTTCCTATATTTATTGTTCTAATTAAGTGTTCCTCGAGAACGCTTCACGTTCCGCTGTCACAATCAACCTCACTTATTATATTATTGTTACCAGCAGTTATTGGCTGGGCGGTGAACCTCTTTAGCTTCGTGCTTGCTTCTACGTTGAATTCTTACTTCTTTTGAACGCGGCGATTTAGCTTATATAGTATATAATATTTAGCTTATCTAGAATCTAGTAAATATTATCTAGTAAATTTTAACTTATTTTAATATATTATTATACATCAATACTATATATATTTAATATTACTGAAATATTGTTCATATTTATTCCATGTTAACCCAATTGTTCCCGTCACCTCCCCCCCCTCTTGACAAGGTCGGTGCCCCCCAGTTTGTTTACCCCCTCCCATCCCCTCAGCCCCCCAAGGAGAACAAAATATTCCTACGCATGGCGCCGGTGCCAAGCATTGTTTGTTTGCAGCCTCTCGAGTTTGTTTGTTTGTGTACAGGCGCGTGAAGTGGAGCCTTGATGTTCGTTTGAAGGGCGCTGCCCTTCAAGCTTCCGTCGCCCTTCAAACAGTCCGTCCCTTTGGCGTCTGTTTGCTGGCTTGGTGCTGAGTTTAGCGTCTGTTTGCTGCTTGGTGTTACGTTTGGCGTCTGTTTGCTGGCTTGGTGTGGCGTTTGGCGTCTGTTTGCTGGCTTGGTGCTGCGTTTGGCGTCTGTTTGCAGGCTTGATGCTGCGTTTGGCGTCTGTTTGCTGGCTTGGTGCGGCGTTTGGCGTCTGTTTGCTGGCTTGGTGTTGCGTTTGTCGTCTGTTTGCAGGCTTGGTGTGGCGTTTGGTGTCTGTTTGCTGGCTTGGTGTTACGTTTGGCGTCTGTTTGCTGCTTGGTGCTGCGTTTGGCGTCTGTTTGCTGGCTTGGTGCTGCGTTTGTTGTCTGTTTGCTGCTTGGTGCGGCGTTTGGCGTCTGTTTGCTGGCTTGGTGTAGCGAGCTGCGTTTAGCGTCAGTTTGCTGGCTTGGTGCAGCGTTTAGCGTCTGTTTGCTGGCTTGGTGCTGCGTTTAGCGTCAGTTTGCTGGCTTGGTGCTGCGTTTGGCGTCTGTTTGCTGGCTTGGTGCTGCGTTTGGCGTCTGTTTGCTGGCTTGGCTCGGAGTAATCGCATTTTCTATAACTTTGCCACTACCTTATCACACAATATCTGCTGCTTTCAGTCCAAGTTTAAAAAGAAATACTTCGCAGTCGGTTCCATCAAATAACATTAAGATTGTATAAAAATTGCTTGACAAGGGAAAGAAAATATTCTAACAATAGACTGACAAACACAACTTGAAAAATATAAACAAAAGTTACCTGCACCCAGGGCGTGCAGGACGCTGCAGTGAACGGGGTGCTGCCGAAGCAGGAGCTGCAGGCGGCGCTGCAGAGGCTGCAGGAGCTGCTGCAGCGTCGTACAGCTGCTCTCAACGTGCGTGTCCTGCAGTTAGCGGCAGATGTTCACTTAGGATGACTTATGTTATACGTCAGGAGGATACAATTTTGTGTATTCTCCTTGTAATATTGTGTAACGGTGTCAGCTCACAGTTACACAATAGAGGTTATTGAGTAGAATATAGTAGCGCACGGACCTACACACCCCATCATCTGACCCCATCATCTGACCCCATCATCTGACCCCATCATCTGACCCCATCATCTGACCCCATCATCTGACCCCATCATCTGACCCCATCATCTGACGACCCCATCATCTGACCCCATCATCTGACGACCCCATCATCTGACGACCCCATCATCTGACCCCATCATCTGACCCCATCATCTGACCCCATCATCCTGACCCCATCATCTGACCCCATCATCCTGACCCCTAACCCTCTACACCCCGGGGTCCCGCAGGGTCTGGTCTCCAAGCTCGAGGGGTCCGCCCTCTCATACCAGTGGCGGGACGGGGCGGGTTGGCCCGACGACACGGTGTGCCCCAACAAACGGCGCTGTAGTGGGTCAAATCGACCCACTTCTGATGGAGACACCCTCGTGGAGGTGTCTCAATCACCAGGGACTCTGGCAGAGTCTGGCACGGACTCGCTGGTGTCGGATTCTGACTCAAAACGAGTCGAAAAATTCGACACAAACGAAAAAGGAAAAAACCAAGAAACTTTGAACGAAATCGGGGCTCTGGAGGAGGTCTTGCTTCGTGGGGGGGAGCCCAGTGGGGACGCTGGGGGGGAAAGTGGGGATACTGGGGGGCAAGATGGGGACGTTTTAAAGGACCTCGACCTCGGGGTTGCTCACAACTCAACCCCACCGACCCCTGACAACCTCACCAGCACTGGTGAGGATTATGGTTTCGGGTGAACAATATACGCAAGTTTGTCGCTTGAATTTACTCTTTTCTGAGCCGCTGGTTTAGAAGTAAGCAAATTTAGCCCCCAAGTATGGAGATCCTTCCATGTGTTGGAAGCTTTGAATGGGAGTATATAGAGTTAGTAAATCATGTCATTTTAACGCGCATATTAACTGCACCTGAAGTAAAATTATTGTTCATGTTACATCGTTAAACTAATTCTTACGCTAAAATAGAGTGACAGTCTGTTTCATTGAGTTATCTTAACTGTTATTAAGTTTAATAATAATTTTATTGCCTGCTTATTATTAATAAATTTGTGTTTATAACTATATTGTGAATATATTTATTTTTAAAATGAATAAAACGTGAAGAATTTCATTATATTGTCGAATAAAACATTAAGGAGGCCAGCTGCATCATCATTTAAAAACAATCAGGAAATTCAATTCATATAATGCATTTGTATCGTAAACGATATTTGTGTATGACATCAATATGGCGGCTTCTGTTGTGAAACCTTCAATAATTTCGAAGTTTTCCAGTCTGAAGAAGCGAACACTCAATATAATTCTATCATTTTTGCTAACTTTTACGTTCAAATTAATTTTATCTATCTTCATTTACCATTTATTTTGTCAACGTCGTAAAGCTGAATGAGGTAGATGCGCAAATGCTTTCCTGTTTGATATGAACTGCATGCTAATGTTAGCAGCTGGAGCAATCAGTTGACGCTAATATTAGCAGCTGGAGCAATCAGTTGACGCTAATATTAGCAGCTGGAGCAATCAGTTGACGCTAATATTAGCAGCTGGAGCAATCAGTTGACGCTAATATTCTAGTCACTGTGTATTGTGAGGCACATTTCTTCAATATTATTTGCATGCACGATATTTCATTCGTACGAACTTCGAAACAATTTAAATATTCCCGTTTATTCCTGCCCTATCAATTTTATTTACCGGCATCATTTAATTAATTGAATGACATAGACAAATTTCAATATTACAATATTAAAACTTTTATTAATTTGACAGTGTTAATATTAATATAATATTGCAATATTACAATAATAGTATACTACTACATTATTACAATATTTTTCTTTCATTGAATATTAAGACATTATTAATGATAATATTAAGAATATTATCATTAATATTTCTTTTACTGAATATTATAATGCAGAAGACGAGCACGTGATGTGCTCCCCCAGCTACTCCCCCGACCCCGTGATGGGGGGGCTCCCCACGTCCCGTGACACCTACGGGGTTCACATCCCCGTCGAGGTCTACAGGGGCTGTAAGTCTTCCTCATTATTATATTAATTTTTGTTATCATTATTATTAAATAACTCTTTGAGATTTTGAAGTTTGAAAATAGAAATAGAATTTTCGGGATTTACTTGTCGGTGATGCAAAAAAATTAGCGTATTTTCATACCAACAGAATGGTGTTTAAACCCGTTCAGACCCCGACCCCATTTTTCTTGTGCAGACCCCGACCCCATTTTACTTGTGCAGACCTCGAACCAGTTTTACTTGTGTAGACCCCGACCCCATTTTACTTGTGCAGACCCCGACCCCATTTTACTTGCACAGACCCCGACCCCATTTTTTTGTGCAGACCCCGACCCCATTTTACTCGTGCAGACCCCGACCCCATTTTACTTGTGCTGTTGTGCAGACCCCGAATCCCATTTTACTCGTGCAGACCCCGACCCCATTTTACTTGTGCAGACCCCGATCCCATTTTACTTTAGCAGACCCCGAACCAATTTTACTTGTGTTGACCCCAACCCCATTTTACTTGTGCAGACCCCGACCCCATTTTTTTGTGCAGACCCCGACCCCATTTTACTCGTGCAGACCCCGACCCCATTTCACTTGTGCAGACCCCGACCCCATTTTATTCGTGCAGACCCCGACCCCATTTTACTTGTGCAGACCCCGACCCCATTTTACTCGTGCAGACCCCGAGATCGTGAACGCGGTGCTGTGGTCTGAATGTGTGGACGAGGTCTTCAGGAGCAACGCAGCCGCAGACCCCACGATATCGTGGCAATACTTCGCTACTGCTGCGGGATACTTGCGATACTTCCCTGATACCAAGTAACTATAATACTTTCTGTGCAGTAATACCGTGTAATGGTTGATACTTGCAATACTTCCCTGACACTGAGTGCCTTGACACTTCCCTGACACTGAGTGCCTTGTTACCTTAAAGAAGAGATCAAGAATATTGTGCTCCTTTGTAAGGCATCCATGGTTGCTGACTAAGCAAGTGTTCCGCAGCAACCTGTGCTAGTTATGATTCCTGACTTCTTGCCTGGTTATTACCATCAAAACTATTTAGGCTTGTACCATCGTATACGAGGGAGATTGAAGTCTTCCTCATAATCTGGTTGGTGGAAGGCTCTCCCAGTCCAGCCATCTGGTCTCTCTTTTTTTTCTTGAGGGTCTTAAATTATACGATGGGCAAGCCGGTGGTCTATACGGCAGATATCGCTATTTGTTGTGAGGGCATATAGCATTGGCTCCCCTCCTATTGTCAATTCATCCAATTTGTTTCCTTTGTTCAATGTGGTGGAAATGACAGTTTTCTATGGTGCAATCCTACTCCCTGATCATGATACTCCAGTTCAGCTTAGGGTGGTAGAAGGAGCAATCCTTTCATTTTTAGTATCATCGTGGATGAAAAATTTCGTAGTCAAAGAATTTGTAACAAATTCTTGGATGAGCAAATCGACACTCTTCGTCTCATGTTCACATTTCTTTTGAAGTTATTTTCTGTTCCTTGCATGTGGCTTGCTCGAAGGTATGTCAACATTTTGGAAGGATGTTATGGATGGTAGGAATGGGATAAGGATGGGAGGGTCGGAAGGGATGATGGCAGACCATGGTCCAAATCACCGTCCTCGGGGATAAGGGCGATGGTCGAGGTGGGGACAAAGCGAGCGTTAGGAATTGTTTTAATCACATGGACCACATGGTCGTGGCCACATGGACCAGATGGATCACATGGACCACATGGATCATTTCGCCTCGCAGATGGCCGGTGCCCCCCGAGCTGCTGGAGGCGGATCTGTACGACGCGCGACGTCGCCCCTGGTACGGCCGGACGTCTACCCTCCCTAAGGACGTCGTCATCCTGATGGACAGGTGAGGTACGGCCGGACGTCTACCCTCCCTAAGGACGTCGTCATCCTAATGGACAGGTGAGGAACGGCTGGACGTCTACCTTCCCTAAAGACGTCGTCATCCTGATGGACAGGTGACGTCTGGTCGGACGTCCACTTTACAAAAGGACGTCTTCATCCTGATGGACAGGTGAGGTACGGCCGGACGATCGCTCTCCTTAAGGCCGTCATACTGATGGACAGGGCCTATACGTTCAAAAAAAGTTAAGAGATCGTAAGTTCATCAGCCAATCATTGACGGCCTTTCGAGCAAAATCCACCAATCATAGACAAGAAAATAGAGCGTAAGTACTTATGTTCACTTAGCCAGTTTTGAAAGTATTGCCCCAGGTGAGGTACGGTCGGACGTCTACCTTCCCAAAGGACGTCGTCATCCTGATGGGCACGTAAGGTACGGCCGCCTCTGGTACGGCCAGACGTTGCCCATGATATTAACCTCTTTAACCCCCCAGGAGCGGCAGCATGCACGGCCAGACGTTCTCCATCATGAAGTTCGCGGTCAAGACGTTCGTCAACACGCTTGGGGAGGACGACTTCCTCAACATCGCCGTGGTGAGTGTTGCGTGGTTACAGTGGGTGTTGCATGGGGACCGTGGGTGTTGCGTGGGGACCGTGGGTGTTGCGTGGGGACCGTGGGTGTTGCGTGGGGACCGTGGGTGTTGCATGGGGACCGTGAGTGTTGTATGGGGACCTTGGGTGTTGCGTGGGGACCGTGGGTGTCATGTTGGTTAGAAGGGGGTTTTTGGGTAATGTGTGATGGCTAGAGGCCACCGAGGGCTGTTTGATGGTTGTGTTGGGGTCGCAAAGCTATAGAATATCTGTGTTGTGTGTTGGGGTTATTAGTAAGAAGACATAGTATATAGTTGTGCGTGTTGCGCATCAATGCATACATCGAAATGAAGTCACGTAACTTCTCCATCCTGGTTGCCGAACAAAGTAGCAGGAGTTTTCGTTCGCATCTGCCACTTTCTAAGCCTTCTCATTCTGCTTAGCAATACGGCGTGACTCTGAGAACGATTTCTAAGTCCTATAATAACGATTTCTGTAGGTTCGGAATTAAGGATTTTGGAATCGCTGAGTACTTTTAAACGGAAACATTGACTCAATAATATTCACATTTGTTACCCTCTTCAAATTGTAAACCGATAGTTATTTTGTTCTGTTGTCGTTTTCTTGTTACTTGGGTTGTAATCTCGTTCGTTTTTATTTAGATTTTTACTGACGATTGTTTTGTATTCTTAAACTTTTTGAGCAGATGATGGAGCTGGTTCTCTGAAATGTATTCAATAAGATGTAATAAACTCACTTAACTTTTTCTTTGCTTTTGAATTCTTGGTGTTAAAAAGCATGTTGAACACTATACTTAACAGCGTGTTGAACACCTCATATTCAACAGCATGTTGAACACCGCATATTTAACAACGTGCTAAATGTCGTAAGTTTAACAGCGAGTTGAACACCATATATTCAACAGCGTATTGAACACCGTATATTCAACAGAGTGCTGAACACCGTATATTTAACTGCTTATTCAACACCGCATATTTAACAACGTGCTGAATGTCGTAAGTTTAACAGTGTGTTGAACACCGTATATTCAACAGAGTGCTGAAACCCCAAAATACGGGGGGCGTATATTTAACTGCTTATTCAACACCGTATATTTAACAGCGTGTTCAACTGCCCGCAGTTCAACAACACGGTCAGCTGGCTGTTGAACTGCACTGACGCCTCCCCCAAGGCCTCTCCAAGTTGGCTACTTAACTAGTTGGCTACTTAACTAGTTGGCTACTTAACTAGTTGACTACTTAACTAGTTGGCTACTTAACTAGTTGGCTACTTAACCAGTTGGCTACTTTACTAGTTGACTACCTAACTAGTTAACTAGTTGGCTACTTAACTAGTTGACTACTTAACTAGGTAACTAGTTGGCTACTTAACTAGTTGGCTACTTAACTAGTTGGCTACTTAACTAGTTAAGTAGTTGGCTACTTAACTAGTTTACCAGTTGACTACTTAACTAGTTAACTAGTTGACTACTTAACTAGTTTACTAGTTGGCTACTTACCTAGTTGGCTACTTAACTAGTTGACTGCTTAACTAGTTGACTACTTAACTAGTTGGCTACTTAACTAGTTGAGTACTTAACTAGTTAACTAGTTGGCTACTTAACTAGTTGGCTACCTACTTAACTATTTTACTAGTTGGCTACTTAATTAGTTGGCTACTCAACTAATTGACTACTTAACTAGTTAACTATTTGGCTACTTATCTAGTTTACTAGTTGGCTACTTAACTAGTTTGTTAGTTGGCTACTTAACTAGTTGGCTACTTAGCTAGTTTGCTAGTTGGCTACTTAACTAGTTGGCTACTTGACTAGTTGGCTACTTAACTAGTTGGCTAGTTAACTAGTTGGCTAGTTAACTAGTTGGCTAGTTAACTAGTTGGCTACTTAACTAGTTTACTTATGGGCTAATTAACTAGTTGGCTGGGGCTGTTTAAATAGTTAGCTAGTTAATACATTAATTGGCTAGTTACCTAGTGAACTGGAGCTTGTTACATAGCGAAATGAAGTTGTGTTAGTGAAGAAGACAGTTCTCGATGGTGTGGAACTACATGTACGAGATCGTATTACTATATCTTATTGTTGATAAATTATACGTGAACCTATATCTTATATTTAACTAGCAGGTTAACGATACGATAATAGCTGCGATTTAAAAATCCCAAATCCTGTTATTTGTCCATTATTCTTGTCCATTATCCTTTAATAATAATAAAGTTAATGTATGCTCATTATGGAAAGGACTTTCCAACACGCGTTTATCATGGAACAAAAGATTCCCCTTTGACTCTCGCTTAAAATTATGAAAAATTGTTATTCCGAACTTAATTTAGGAACCAAATTGACAATTTTTATCCAATACTTCCCTCCTTTACCACCAAACCTTTCATCCCTTCGCTTCAATCTTTTCATCCCTTCCCACCAATTTCTTTATCCCTTCACACCAATTCTTTTATCCCTTCACACCAATTCTTTTATCCCTTCCCACCAATTCTTTTATCCCTTCCCACCAATTCTTTTATCCCTTCCCACCAATTCTTTTATCCCTTCCTACCAATTCTTTTATCCCTTCCCACCAATTCTTTTATCCCTTCCCACCAATTCTTTTATCCCTTCCCACCAATTCTTTTATCCCTTCCCACCAATTCTTTCATCCCTTCCCACCAATTCTTTTATCCCTTCCCACCAATTCTTTTATCCCTTCCCTCCAATCCTTTCATCCCTTCCCTCCAATCCTTCCCTCCCTTTCCTCCAATATACAAACACATTCGCGTCGCCACACAAACTTGTGTTGTGATGTTAACATCACCTCACAAGTTTGTGTGGTGATGTGGATGGCATCCAGCTACACAGCTGAGCAGCTGAATAACCTGCCGCCCCCCGCCGCCCCCCAGGCGAGCACAGACAACAAGCTTCGCCTGTACCGCGCACTGGACGAGGCCGAGGACGGCGGCACCACCAACTACACCGCCGCCCTCGACTTCGCCTACAACGTCCTCCTGGTGGGGGGTGGGGGTGGTGGGGTGAGGGGGAAGTGGTATTGATGGGGTAGTGGGGATGAGCAGGATGATGGTGACACTAGTGTCCGGTATCAATTCACTTGACCTGATAGAGATTGAGGACGAGTCAACATCTGATAGACACGTGATAGATCACGCGATCAAGACCTCAGTAGTGGGCGGAAGCGAAGGTAATAAAAGGTCTCGCAACCTTAAGCAAACCCCACCCCCCCCCAGTAGCTGATTAGCACTCCGCGATGTAGCGTGTAGCTTGAGTTCTCCGACCTTACGGTCGATGCCGTAGCTTATTCCTCTGTACCGCAACTCTGTATTACCACCCCGTATACAAGATACGTTATCTGGACTGATGTGTCTTACTTATCCCTCACTACCTTAGTCAACGAACCCGATCCTCAGGTAGAGCTTAATATAATGAGTTCAATGTTCGGGCGCCACTGTCACAGGTTGTAATTTAACTACAAACTATGATATTGAACTCATTATATTAAGCTCTACCTTAATAATAATTTGCTTAAGGTTGCTAGACCTTTTATAATGTTCGCTTCCGCCCACTTCTGAGGTCTTGATCGCGTGATCTATCACGTGTCTATCAGATGTTGACTCGTCCTCAATCTCTGTCAGGTCAAGTGAATTGACACCGGACACTAGTGTGTGGTGAACAGGATGATGGTGACACTAGCGTGTGGTGAGCAGGATGATGGTGACACTAGCGTGTGGTGAGCAGGGTGATGGTGACACTAGCGTGGGGTGAGCAGGGTGATGGTGACACTAGCGTGTGGTGAGCAGGATGATGGTGAGCGGGGCAGCAACTGCCACAAGCTCATCCTGATCTTCAGCGACGGCGGCACCGACCAGGCGCAGGAAGTCATCGACAGGTGGGAACTAGTGGCACTAGTGGCACAAGTGACAGTAGTGGCACAATGGGCACTAGTGGCAGTAGTGGCACAATGGGCACTAGTCGCAGTAGTGGCACAATGGGCACTAGTGGCAGCTGGCAGTAGTGGCACAATGGGTACTAGTAGAATAGTTAAGGGTTCCTACAGGCGGTCCTAACTGAACACCTTCCCTATAAGCTAGCGTCCTATATAATCTAGTACTGGACGTCTGTCGGAGACTACCACTGCCGTGCATATAATGGACTATCATGATCCCTTCCATGGAGAACGTAGCCTATAACGCTTCTTGACTCTAACATTATCAGCCGCAAGCCCCCAGACAGATCACATCCATTGAATTAGACCAATCAGCCCACAGGAAATGAGTCGTGCACTAAATATTCAGTGCCCATACTTTCAAAAAAAGTTAAGAGATCGTAATTTCATCAGCCAATCATTGACGGCCTTTCGAGCGAAATCCACCAATCATAGACAAGAAAATAGAGCGTAAATACTTACGTTCACTTAACGAGTTTTGAAAGTGTGGCCCCTGGACGGCAGGATTCATGCAGTTCCCCTGACGAGATAAGCTGATTGGTGGCAGTCCGTTGTCCGCTGGTTACAGTTAGGGCGATGGTCAGGGAATGAAGTGATGTTTCGATGTAATGTTCGGTAAGCCCGTAATGTTTAGTAAAAAACTAATGAAGCCCGTCATGTTCAGCAAGCACGTAATGTTCAGTAAGTCCGTAATGTTCAGTAAGTCCGTAATGTTCAGTGTTAAAGTGCCGCTCTTTCCCTTATATGATTTCACTCTTACCTCAATCCCACATTCCCACCTCTCCCCCAATACCCCATCACTCCCCTCATCCCGACGCCCCTGTCCCCCGGTAACCCCAGCACTCCCCCATATCCTATCACCCCGACGCCCCTTTTCCCCGGTAACTCCAGCACTCTCCCTTACCCCCTCACCCCGTGTCTCTTATACACATCTAGATGTGTATAAGAGACAGGTCATGCAGGTGTGATGTGCACCATCATGCAGGTGTGATGTGCACCATCATGCAGGTGTGATGTGCACCACCTGATAATATTCTCACTATCACCATCATCACTATCGCTTCCATCATCACCATCACCATCATCACTATCGCTTCCATCATCACCATCACCATCATCACTATCGCTGCCATCATCACCATTACCCCCTTCATCATCACCATCACCATCATCACTATCGCTTCCATCATCACCATCACCATCATCACTATCGCTTCCATCATCACCATCACCATCATCACTATCGCTGCCATCATCACCATTACCCCCTTCATCATCACCATCACCATCATCACTATCGCTTCCATCATCACCATCACCATCATCACTATCGCTTCCATCATCATCATCACCATCATCACTATCGCTGCCATCATCACCATCACCCCCTTCATCCCCCAGGGGTACCTGCATCACCTGGCCGCCCTCCTGCCGCCCCCCGATGAGGCGCTGCTCCCCGCCACCATCACCCCCTACATCGACGTCCTGGTGGGTGCCTGGGGGGTTATAAGGGGCAGGTAATGGGGCAAATAATGGGTAAGGTAATGGGTGAAGTAGTTGGCAGGTAATGGGGGAGGTAATGGAGCAAATAATGTGGTCGGTAATTGTCAGGTAATGGGATGAGGTAATAGGGTAAATAATATGGAAGGTAATGGGTAAGGCAGTTGGCAGGTAATGGAAGGAAAATATAATATTGAACAGCAGGGGTACCAACTTTCTAATGGGCTGATGCAGGCCCAGTTTACTGCGGATGCCGCAACACTAATGGTCTAATGGGACAATGGTGTACGGGTGTGGTCCAGTCATGTAATGGGCTAATAGTTTATTGGTTCACTGATTTAATGGTCTAATTTTGTCATAATGGTCTAATGTTAGGTATAATGGCCTAAATTTTTAATGATGAAATGGTTCAATGCTTTAATGGTCTAATGTTTAAAGTTTTAATGATGCAATTTTCTAATGGTGTAATGGAGTAATGATGTAATGGTGTAATGGAGTAATGGTGTAATGGAGTAATGATGTAATGGTGTAATGGAGTAATGATGTAATGGTGTAATGGTGTAATGGAGTAATGGAGTAATGATCTAATGGTGTAATGGAGTAATGGTGTAATGGAGTAATGGTGTAATGATGTAATGGAGTAATGGTGTAATGGTGTAATGGAGTAATGATGTAATGGAGTAATGATGTAATGGTGTAATGGTGTAATGGAGTAATGGGTGCACCCCCCCAGACGGAGAGCCTGGCGCTGGCCCTCACCGCCCCCGTCTACAACCGCTCCAGCGACCTGGTCAGTGTCCAGCAGACGGTTAGTCCAGCAGACAGTTAGTCCAGCAGACAGTTAGTCCAGCAGACGGTTAGTCCAGCAGACAGTTAGTCCAGCAGACGGTTAGTCCAGCAGACAGTTAGTCCAGCAGACGGTTAGTCCAGCAGACGGTTAGTCCAGCAGACGGTTAGTCCAGCAGACAGTTAGTCCAGCAGACGGTTAGTCCAGCAGACAGTTAGTCCAGCAGACAGTTAGTCCAGCAGAC